TTTTTAATAGCTTTTATTATAGAGAATCTTGATACTTAAAATGACTTGCTACTACTTGTCTTTGCATATCTCTGAAACAACAATATCGCAATATTACCCAATTTTCAGTCACTCTTGTCTCTACACTCAGTCCCAGTCTCAGTGGTTTAGTCCTAGTCTAAATTTACTCCTGGATTAGATCTGATATAATACAGTCCTCATTTGTGGATTTTAGAGGTAGACTTGTTCAAACAATTGCATGGACACATTTGTGGTTATAAAGGGCCCATATTACGCTATTTTCTGATCTGCTGTATTTTATAATGTTGTTTCCTCATTAAAAATGTACCTGGAGTTGTGTTTTGTTTCATTCATATATGTTTAATGCACAAGCCCTGCATATTAACGATGTGATGTGTATTTATAACATGACTTAAATCTCACAAGAGTCATTTTTGCATAAATTAGGACCTTTAAAAGATTTTTAATGAAAAAAAAGTCTCTATAAAGCAGGCTCTTGACTTGTTGATAAAAGTGACACATATTTTTAAGTAATTTCAGCCTGCCCGCACACAGGACCCCCTCCCTATCCTCTGACATCACCATAACACGCTGTACTCAGAGTTTCTACATATTTGGGTGTTGCAAATTACTCAACACTTTTAGAGCAATCCAACCAAGAGCAATAAGACAATGATGAGTGAATGGGTGGTGCAGATAAAGGGGCATTTTTACTTCCTAATATGGTAATGCTGAATAAAGTCTATAAGAAACAATGACACATGTACTTTTTTTACATTGCTACAATCATTAACAATAAACAACTATTTCTTATTTTAAGTTTGCATTAATATCTTTTTTATATTACAAGCGAAAAATTACAGTTGTCACAATTTCAAACATGATTTAGAGATTTTTTTAATATCCAGTCCAATAAATTATAATAAAAACAGTGGAATGTACTTTATGACACTAAATAATTGAAGGTTTCTTTTAAACGTTATCATGATATGGCCTAGTTCTGATATAAATCAAGACTAACTATTCAGAAAAGGTCTCTCTTCCCTTTTCAGTGATGATCCTTCAAATGAGCATTTACCCTCAATACTAGTTTCAGTATAAAGTTTGTTTTAAAATGTTGGTTTATGATGGACAAATCCAAGCCAGCACACAAACACTATTTAATTTTCTTAAACCACATAGCACTGTTTTAATGTGTTTTGAATTCCCTCCCCACACATTTAGACAACAACTTTTCTAATCGCTACCAATCACTTATTAATTTATGACAGATGTCTTGACCATAATGCAACAATAGTTAAAAGTCTAATGTAAAATTGATTCGTTGTGTGTTTTTAATGATGTTATAATGTTATCTACTCAAACACATGGAGTTGTGTTTTGTTTCATTCACACATGTTTGAGTTAGTCCTTTAAAATTTGTCTATTAGTTCGTTAGTTAGTCAGTTTACATCTCCAAAGCTCTAAATGCTCTGTTCCACCTTGTGATATCATGAAGTAGTTTTCAAGTTAACATCTACCTTTTACCTTTAGTTTAGTTGAAGTTGAAAATTTCAGGGTTGAAATTATCCAAATGATTCTAGCAAAAGTGTATAGAGCTTAAAAATATAACGGAGTGCTTCCTTTAATTACCACATGACATCACAAGGTGGAAGGTGGATTGTTTTTTGTTTAAGAGAAGAACTAAGAAGCCTAAATATGCAGGGTTTCTGTGTTAGACGTGTAAATGAAACAAAACACAACTACAGGTATTTTTTTGATGAAAAAATAACATTATAACATAGATCAGAATATAGCGTAATATATAAATAAATAGTGTGAATGTAACTGCTGGCTTATCATTAAACTACTACAGCCCACAAAATACTCAAGTAAATAACCTAGCAATAAAAACAAACCCTACATATATCTCTCCTAAGCTGAGCAACAGTTTCCTGTTATTTATGAGGTCACAGTGACTAGACAGAATGACACAAACAGCCACATTTCCTAATCAGCATAAGCACGGTTAAGCTTATTTCCTTTAATACTATCTTCAGTATACTGTATGAGATCAGGTCCAGACGGTTACCACACTAAGGGCCGTTTAAGTTTTATTACTGTAGCAATGATTTCCTGTTGCGTGAGGTAAGAACCCAATCACAAAAGTAATCGAGTGTGTTAACTTAATAGCTGAGTTAATACTCCAGTTCCTATTGGTATTAGCGGCAGTTAAGTGGCCACACATTTGAAGTGGTGCAAGAAGTAATGCAATGTAAAGTGTAAATTATATTACTGAAGAAAAAAAGCACACACCAGCAGATACAAAACACCAGTCAACAAAAATATAACTTTGCTAATGGATGGTAGACCATGGAGTAGTTTGAACATGTCTTTTGAACATGGTAAGACAACAATAAGCACTATCATTATCATCAGTGTTATGTTAATGTGATTCTGTTACCGAAATCACAAGTTAGCATCTTTGGTCTACTGGGTCTAATATATTGGTAACTGTACCTAATTAATAAATAGATACAAACTTCTATGTAGCACAAATTACATACTTAAAAATAAGGAGTATAACAGTACACAAAAATCACGGTTCGGAACATACCTCGGTTCTGAGGTCACAGTTCAGTTCATCTTTGAAACAGTAGGGGAACAAAATGCAAAACCATTTGCTTGTTGTTTATTTGTGTGTTTATTAAACCAACAAGTTGTTTTAACATCCCCTTATTTAATTCTGTTTAATATGCCATTTATGAAATAAAATATATGCAAAGTGCTGCTAATAAGTTAAATAAAAGATTCTCAAAGCAACAAATGTATGAAATATTATAAAAAATAAATTCCTTGTAAACAGTAAACAAAACTTTTCAAAAAGTAAAGTGCAGCACTAACAGTTCCAGGCTGAAGTTTTACTCAATATTCATATTTTTGGCCCAAAAAAACCCCAACTTGTCCATACTGTCTGCAGTAAGTGCAGATCTGCTGGCAGTTACTATGTCCCCAGCGGTTGAAAATACCCTTTCTCTAGGGAGAGAGGTCAATTACGGACGAGTTCCCTCGTGAATATTAAAGAGCTGAGCCTTCAGTGTAGCTGCACATGTAGTAGCGGAATGTAAACACACACAAATTGTGCAAATTCCCTCGTGCACAGTCCTGCAACGAACCACACGTCCCGTACCGAACGGTTCGGCACAAACACATGTGCCGTTACACCCCTGCTTAAAAATATTTCTACTACTGTTGGTAATATAAAGCCAACTGTTTTAACCAGGGTAAAACCTCCTTGATTAGAGATTTTAATGGTGCACTGTGTAACTTTTTATACTGCCTATTTTTTGCCTTGTTTTCCCTATGGCAGTATTAAACTTTTCTGTCTTCAAGGAGACAGTGAAGTCACCAGGCTGGTGAAGTCACCAGGCTAACTTACAGGACAGATCTGTGAATGGGCAAGCCCACTCACAGTAAGAATGTACTAATATGTTGCTCAAGGGATTTTTAGCTATAAAAATTCCAGTAAGTGATTAAGTTCAAGACAGATATCAAGAAAATAAATAATATTTCCATGGAGACAAACTGGTGCCCCTTTCAGAATGTCCTGAAAAGTTACTACAAAATCACTTAAAACCTTAACTCAGCTTGCTTTAGGTGACAATTCAGGTAAATACCAGGTTAGTTTACAGGTCAGATCTGTGGACAGGCAAGCAGATCCTTCAGCAGAAAAGTCACATAGCGCCTCTTTAAGTACGTTCTCAAAACTTGTTTCACAAAATCACCTATAACTCACCTCAACTCACACTGCTTTAGGTGAAATAAAAGGGACAAAACAGGCAAATACCAGAGCCTTAATCCTAGAGGCCATGTCCCGATGTGTGCTTTGATTAGTCAGGCTTAGCAACAGTAAGAATGTAAACGCAAGACGTGTTTACAGATGTGAGTGTTAGGATCTGACTCAGCTCTGGCTCCGAACGGACAAAGGAAGGAAAAAGACAGCACTCCTCAGCACTGAGAGACTGGGAAATGGAAGAGAATGGAGAATGTATTTGGATTGAGAGGGATTTAATAATCATTTTGTTTATGTGTATCTGATCCAGCTGGATTATTGTGAAACTGAACACATAATGGGTCGCTATTTACAACAACTAATAGTACACAGCAAAGGAATGGGATATTAAAGGGCCCATATTACGCCATTTTCTGATTTCTATGTTATAATGTTGTTTCCTCATCACAAACATACCTGGAGTTGTGTTTTGTTTCATTTAACACACGAATCCTGTATATTTATATTTAGTTCTTCTCTCAAATAGAAAACACTCCACCTCGTTCCACCTTGTTATATTATATGTTAATACAAGAAGTGCTCCATTGTGTTTTTAAAATTCTTACACCTTCACTAGAATCACCTGGATGATTTCAGCTCTGGAACTGCCAATTTGTGCTGAAAGTAAAAGGTAGCTAACTCAAACATGTGTAAATGAAACAAAACACAGCTCCATATAGGTTTTTGAGGAGGTAACAATATTATAACATGGATTAAAACATACAATTTTGTGCAATACAGGACCTTTAATAGGATGGAAATAGACATTTAAGAAACAGAGGTTCTGTGCCGGCGAAAGGCGAAACTGAGGACCGGGGCACAATGACTGTAGTTTTGCGAGGATTCACGTGGTTAGGAGGGATGCAGTCAAGGCGGGCTGTAATTGTCAAGGGGGCTGTCCTAAATATAAAGCACTGCGTGAAACACTGCCACCCCAATCATGGACCAGTTCCCTCGTGAATATTAAAGAGCAGAGCGTTCTGTGTAGCTGCACATGTAGTGGCGGAATGTAAACACAAACAAATTGCGTGAACTTACTCATGCACTGTCCTGCACCGAACTGAAAGTCCCATACCGAAACGGTTCGCGAATATATGTACCGTTAGACCCCTCCATTTAGGTATCTACTAGACCTAGGCATGTAATACAACCAGTGTTATAAATCAGACCAGGCCTTCTCTTTACTCACCCGAGCACAGCGCCCCCTTGTAGCGGAGACAGTTGAACTCATCACACTCGCAGTATCGCCCCCACACTTGTCCAGCTTCGTTTGAATGACAGGCACACTGGCCACACAGACAGTCCCCCCTTCCGCTGCACATGGGACCACCAGATTTGGGGATACAGTTGGCATCGTCTGAGGGGCTGTAGTCCTCCACCGAGCACTCGCAGTGGGGTCCCAGTCTGCCCTGGTTACACTTGCAAATGCCACATTCGAACGTGCCATTGCCCTGACTGCAGAGGGCGCTGTCGGGCTGGGCGCTGGCTTCACATTCACAGTCACAGGCGAAGTCCATTGTTATCTCCAGGGAGTCTTTAAAGCCCAGAGGTTTGATTTTGAAGGTGTGGCTTTTCTCTTTGGGGCAAGAGCGCAACTGAGCCTCCACGCTGAAAGAAACCTGGGAAACATGATATGTATAAGTTATATTAAGAAATATATTTTTGTTTTCAAAAACATTCTTTGTAATATGATTGTATAATTTTCAAACTTTTTTTCACATAGAGGCTCCAAGTAACTGAAGCCACTATGGAGCTCATCAGTGACCATTCATTTTACCCATAAACATTTAAAAAAGAGTTGAAAGGCGGAGGCTAACCATCTATGTCGTACTGGCAACTATAATCCATAACACAGTTGCCAAAAAGTAAAGTATTTAAAATGTAAGATCTGCAAAATGCTTTAATAACTTAGCATTTTATAAAATTTCAGAAAAATATTTTTTTTTTATTAGGTCTTGGGTCATTAGTTATCATGTAGCAGAATTAACCCTGAGCAAGCTTTCAAACTTTTAATATTTTTTCAGAAAGTCTGTGGTGAAAATGAATGGGAAATTTCCCTTGGGCAGTCACTGTTGAGCTCCATAAGCATTAGACTGGTTAATACAAGGACAACAGTTAGTAATAGCTCCATGAGTAAATGTACAAAACTAAAACATTCTAACACTGTGACACAGGTAAATTGATAAGAGTGTCTTGCTAAATGACACAACGGCAGTATGAGCTGATAAGAATTTGAACCATTAGACAACTGACTATACAACTGCTTTCTTTTTCTGAACTACTGTTGTGGTAAGAAGTAGTGGTCAGTCTGCCTCAAGCGTATTTTTCCATTAATACTTGGTGAGACTGAGATGTGAATGAATAATGGAACTTTTTTTTAAGCTAGTGTGCAATGAGTAATAAAAATCTGAGCAATAATTAATATAGTTGAAGCGTAGAGAACATTGAAATGAGGGATCACACAGTCTAATATGGTTAAAAGGGACACAGCATAACTTTTCTCGTGAAGGATTCCAGTACAGGCTGTGTGTTTGGCGTCATGGAGATCTTACTGCCTTACTGAGAATGTTCCACAGTAATGCATATGTATCTCCATGGAAAGAAGCAGTTGAGGCAATCAGATCAAGTTACAGGTCAGATCTGTGGAGACGCGCCCCTGCTCACAGTAAGAATTCATACTTTTCAAGGTATTTTTGAGCTATAAAACCATTCAAATGAAATGAATGCTGAACAGAAGAAGAAGTTTAAAGCCATAATGTTGATCATTCAAAGCAAAGAAATAATATCACCATGGAGATGTACAGTGCAATCAAAGGGCTTATACAAATACATGTATACTGACAAAACCATTTGATTATTTATTTACAAGGCCATAACTTTTATATTAACTGGTGCTGCAGAATTTTCTAAGTGTGATGGAGTACATACAGTGTCTCCTATTTTCAGTCCGGAGCAGGATCGGACTCCAGGAATGATCTCTCCATTGAGGCAGGTGGCGTTAAAAGCCAAATTCAACTCCTCTGGAACGTCAACAAGATCCAGCTCCACCTTAGATCGGATTTTCTGAACAAAATACAACATAAAAACACCATTTGAGATTCAAACTGGGGAAATATATCAAAGTTAGAGATGTCAATAGTCAGCCAAAACACGTTCAAGTATTACAATGTAGATCAGCAGCCCGTCTTGTTTTTCCCAGCTTTTTTCAGTCAAATATCAGTGTTGTCCATATAATGAGGCTTTTGCTTTTGTGTGCCTATTCAGTTAGATTAGCTTTGTTAGATGAACTAAAATGGACTTATGCCCCTGTTCAGACATAACATCTACAGTTACTGAGGGGTGAAATTAAAAGCATAGCTTATCACTTCAACATGGTTATTATTACAGATAGGGTTCACAACATTAGGCATTAAAGTTAGAAAAAAACTGGCAAGCAAAATAGTTTCAGTATGGAGCTGAGCGTGAGGGCGGTTCTGGCTCCACCGACTCTGGCTCCAATTGACTTTACATCGAAAAATTGTCACCCCTCTCTCAGTAACTGCTGTGAGCCTCATCATTTTGGCCTTAAAATGTTTGTATTAACCCACTTTACATGATCCTGGTGTTTTATTTCAAATTTGTCTAATTAAATTCCTACTGCTAATTCCTAAGTCGGCTCCAAATTCGTGCTATATCTGCTAGCATTGTCAGCTTCCCTTAGTCCACTTCATTATACAGTCAATGACGATTAAAAATGGGCTAGACAATTAAATTTAAAATAATGAAAATCCTGTTCGTTATTTACCGTATATGCCTCCTGAATGAGCCCTATAACATTTCCAGAGTCATACTCGAGCGTTCCCACAGTGGTCCCAGGAATCAGCTGACTGTACTCCTGAGAGAGAGAGAGCGCGAGAGAGGAAACCCAAAAGTTATTTATTTCTATGTAAAGGCAAATAAATTATGGCTATGGTAATGGTGGAGGAGTTTGTTTACCTTGTACAGAGACACCACATAACTAGTCACGGCAAAAATCAGATTAATATTGTTTTCAGATATTTTCTCAGTCATTTGAGCCAAAGAGGGGTAGTCCTAGAAAGACACGGGGAGTAAAGAGTTAAGTTGAGATAGTAATTCAAAATAACACAAACTTCTACAATATTTCAGTTATTTACATTTCAGATTAGACAAAATTAGGGCCTTAAAGATGCATTATGTAACTTTTCTGTTGTGCCCGGAATTGTCTACACTACAGTATGTCATTAGACTTATCTCAGTGGAGACAGGCCTAGTTACAGGTTAAAGCTGTGGAAAGGCAAGTCACATGCAAGAAAGCATGTAACTGAAATCAAGCTAGACAAGTTAAAGACCATACTGTGGAGAATACATTCGAGGAAAAGCAATAATATCTCCATGGAGACTAGGAGGTGGCAGACTCTCACCATGTAAGTTAAATAAGGCATCTTTAAGGGCCCATATTGTGCTATTTTCTGATCTATGTTATAATGTTGTTTCTTCATCAAAAACAAACCTGGGGTTGTGTTTTGTTTCATTCATACATTTTAACATTTAACACACAAACCCCAAACTCCATACACATTCACTAGAATAATTTGGATAATTTCAGCATCTCATAATTTCAATAATTTCCGGACTAGAATTAAGCTGTCTTAGAACTTGAAAGTAGATAATAAATCTGAAAACAAGATGAACAACCTGATATAAGTTTTAAAATCTTGGCCAGATCAGAGAAATTTGTAGTAAAGGGTTACTCAAACATATGTGAATGAAACAAAACACAACTTTTTGATGAAGTAACCACATTAAGACCTGATTTAAAGCTCACAAGAGTTAATTTTGTGTAATATAGGACCTTTAAAGAACGATAGATATAATGTAATGCACAACTACAAATGTACTTTTATTCCATTTAAGATAATAATATTCCATATAGTTTCTTAAAAAATAATACAGTTATTTTGATTTACTTAATTGATATTATAGATGTCTAGCCTCTTGTACATGTTCAATTGAAAAGCATGTACAGGTAAATTGGTGAACATTTTACCAGCACAGTAGTTTTGTTGTAGATGTTGTTGCTGTCAAGGTGACACAGTCCGTCATTGGGTTGGACAATGCCTGCGATTCGTCCGTCCAGAGCGATGTGAGTTTTAGCGTCTGTCGTGAAAACCAGCAAGTGTGAGGCATCTGCACGCCAGCCAATTTGTTCCTATAGCAACAAAAATGAATTAGTTATTAATAGGTGCGGTTTGTGCATGTTTTGTGCATGTTGGTGAAAACCTCCCATTTTGCATATTAACTAATTAAAAATGTTTGGACATGTGCCACTGGAGTGTGTTCTATTTAAAGGTGCATTGCGTAACTTTTCTGGTGGAGGGTCTGTCAAATGCTTTTCTGAGATGGCATTGCTTCGTCTGGATTGTTTCACAATATGGCATTAATCCATTCTATCTTCATGGAGACCAAATCAGACCAACTTACAGGTCAGATCTGGAGAGGCACTTTCGAGCTAGACAACCATCTGTAATTGGATAAATGTAAGGTAGAGCTGTTTAATGTCATACTGTGGAACATTCCAGACAAAGTGATGGCATTTCCGTAGAAAGAAGGTGATGGACCCCCAAATGAAAAGTTACACAATGCCCCTTTAAAATGTATGCATGTGTTGCAAAAAATCGGATAAATAAATAAATGTATATCCACACATATCTCACATGCTTACAGGTAAAAGTGCAGATATATAGACAGAGTTCTCAGTTGTACCTTGCACACCACAGCTTGCATGATGGCGTCGAAGCCCCCCTCTGGAGAGTCCCTGTTCCTGGACACCTGCTGTTTCGCCACCTCCTCAGTGAAACGGGCCACTTTGTCCGTCAGGGGGAGCACGTGCTTAAAGCCGAACTGAGCCTCACACGTTTCACTGATGCTACAGGGGGTAAAAGTCAAACAGGTATAGATAAGAGTGAGAAGAAAAAGCAGCTTCACAGCTTGCTACACTTAAATATTTATAACTATTCAGTCTATAGTGAATCAATTATAATCTAACATCTATAATAAATTGTAATCTATGTATTTATCAGTTTTATTACCAAGCCATGTTAATAGATTATGTATTTAATATTGAGTGATTTTTAGCCAAGCGTGATTAAGTATTTATGTTTTATGTATGTTATTATATATAGTATGTGTCATAGTCTAGCGTGAACGAATGAAATGGAAAACATGGGACCAGTCTCTCAAATTGCAAAACAAATTTACATTGGAATATGTTGCAGAAAGACAGGAAATGGATTGAGCTCTTGTCTTTAAATGCTTTTAAATCTACGATGAAATCACTACAGATAATAAAAATGTGCATTTGTTTTTTTCTTAATCTGTGATCTTGTCAGTTTATTCTTGTTTCTGTGTGTTGTAACTATGTGTTGAAATGCTGTCTCTTGGCCAGGACTCCTTTGAAAAAAAGGTTTCTAATCTCAGTGAAATTTTGTCCTGGTTAAATCAAGGTTAAAGTAAATATTTAAAATACAAGATTAGAAAGTAGGGTACGAGTTTCATGAATCATCTGTCTTCTGAAAAAGTTGAATTTTAGTGAACTGAGAAAACATCTTATTTTTTATAATATATTGTATTATTATATGAAATAGATATAGTATGGATAAAGTATAACCCAAGAAATAACTTAATGTAATGAATGCTACCCTATGTGGATGTGCACCTGTCTTTGTGAATCTATATCTGCCTAACTGTAAATGAAAAGAATAAAATGTGAAAGAATAAATCAACTTTTTCAAATATTCAATACCACTTAATCTTCTGTGTTTTGTTGCTGATGCTTTTTTTCATCTTTTTGATTTGCTATTATCTTTTCTGTACCTCTTATGTAGACAGATATATCCACTCTCCCCCATGTATAAAAGGAAAAAATAATAATAATAATAATACAAAAAAATTATCACAAATATATGAACTCATGCAGCACTGCAAAACCTAATAAATAGGTAAGTTAAAATTACTCAAATTAAGAACATTTGACTTCATTTGAGTAGATTTGACTTGACAAGTAAAATGATCTACCAAATGGGATGAGTACTTCTTTCTTGATTCAAACAACGCAAGATTTAGTTTCTTATTTTAAGGGCAAAGATGTGTTGTTTTTCTTATCTTTAATGTAACAAGATGTATTTTCATACTTTAAGTACAAAAAGGCTTGTTCCATTGGTAGATCATTTTACTTGTCATGCAAAATTTACTCAAATCGAATTAATATTTTCGTATTTCAAATCATTTTAAACTGGAAAGATATAACTTTCTGTAGTGAGGACATACCCGATGCAGGGGTTGTCGATTGCTTCAGGGGGAAACATGTACATGTACGGGGACGTGGTCTTGTCCACAAATGCCCCAAAGCCCATCCGGAGGTTACTGGTGATTTTCCCCATGGCCTGGGCCAGTTCGCTGCCGAGGGTAACGAGTTTGGCCAGATCGTCCTTCATGGAATAGGACAGGTCCATGAGGTAATACAGGTCCACAGGGTAGTCCTCCACTTGCTTAACGGATACTGTGAATTTTTTACTGTCACCTGGGAAATATCAAACATCGGTATTTTAGAAGATGTTATTAAGGGTTTTGTAGGTATAACATGTTTTATCTTGTCTCTGACCGTGAAAATATTTTAATACTATGACATTAAAAAGATTCACCCTATTACAGAAAAAAAACAACAGATGAAATGTACCAATATACAATGATTTAAAGGCCCATATTACACCAATTTCTGATCTGTTGTTATGTTGTTTCATCATCAAAAACATATTGTACTTTTGTTTTGTTTCATTCGCTTATGTTTAACACACAAACCCCGCACATTTAGGCTGAGCTCTTCACTCACTAACTTCCACCACATGACATCATCAGGTGGAACGGAGCATTTTGAGTTTTGGAGAAATAGACTAACAATGGCTTATCGACACATATCGACTCTTACCACTATAGCTTACACAAAGTACAGCCTACTCATTAAGAATTTTTTTAACTATGATTTTAATTGGCTCATTATTTTACTTTTTGGTGAATAATTGCGTTGTTTTACAGACATGCAAATGAGCGGAACTCAATTTACAAGTCAAGTTGCAAATTGGAAGCTCATGTTTTGTATGAGAAATTAGGGCCAATGGGCAAGCTAAAAATAGACAGACCCATACTTATTGTTTTTCATTTTATTCATGAAATTCTTGTTTTTGTAGGGATTTAACTAATAAAAGCAATTCATTTTCTTAAAGTGCCCATATTCTATTTTCTGATCAATGTTGTAATGTGGTTTCCTCATCAAAAACATACCTGGAGTTGTGTTTTGATTCATTCATACGTTTATCACAGAAACCCTGCATATTTAGGCTGAGTTCTTCTCTCAAACAGAAAACACTCTGTTCAACCTTGTGATGTCATGTGGTAATACAGGAACTGTGTTTTTAAACTCCATACACCTTCACTAAAATCATTTGAAGGATTTTAATACAAAAAAGGTAAAAGGTAGCTGTGAACTTTAAAACCACCAATATATGACATCACAAGGTGGAAGATTTAGAATGACCCATAATTAAGGATGTGCAAAAATATCAAAATATTGATATATCGTATCGTTTAATGTGATGATACAGTATTGATATCATGGGCTGCTGTATCGATACATCATATTTTTTGGTATTTTTTACTAAATTATTTTGGTTACAGAGCTACAATTTCGTTTTATGCAGTGTTTATGCAAAACATTTGACATTTTCACTGTTTTGATGAGTAAAATGTTTGTGTTTCATATGAACTTTGCACAAGAAGTGGTTTAACAAAGACTTTTAGTATCACAGCCATGATTTAGCCATGAACCGTATCTAATCAATTTGAAACATCGTATCGAATTGAAAGTGCACTGTATCAAGATATGTATCGTATCGTGGCCTATGTAACGAGGTACGTATTATATCGGCAACTTCTTACTCCTTCTATGATACCCAGCCCTACTAATAATGCGGGATTACTCAACCACATGTGTGAATGAAACTAAATACAAGGTATTTTTGAGAAGTTAAAAGCATTATAACATATCTTAAAGCTCACAGGAGTCAGTTTTGCATCATATAGGACCTTTAAGTAACTGTAACACATTTTGATTGGGAAGGAGGCTAAAATGATTACTATTAATATGGTAATTCGTATGGCAATTTTGTGATTTTTGTCTCTGTCCTGCTCTATGAACAGGCTGTACAAAAGATACTTATAGATGATAAATGCAAGAGGATGGAACGCTACATTTAAATATCTTTTCTGTGTTGCTATGTTTGTTTCTATGTCGCTGCTGCCGAACTTAACACAATAAAGCATCCATATACTGTATCTGTCTATTTAAATATTAGAATAGCAAAGTAGTAGGATAGTGGGGACCTAAACTTGGTCAAATACATTATCAAGTTCAACAATAAGGTCTTAAAATGTCTTATCACCTATAAGAAATACCATATAATGTATACAGAGATGCTCATATTGTAGAATCTGAATGGACCTCTTACCTGGCCGCAGTGTCATGCGTAGTTTCTGAGGTCGTACTTGAGTGACAGTGCCCCCAGAGGCTTTATCGCTGAGAGGAGAGTCCTGCTGTATGTCCACTGAGCTCAAAGGAAACTCTACAGAGTCAGCGCTACAGCCCAGTTTCATCAGGTTTGTCTTCAAGTCACAGCGAGAAGCACCAGACCCTCCTTTACCAAACTCCTGTAAGGAAAATGACAAGAAGGTACATTATAAGCAATATATGTGAGATAATGCAGAATGATATCGTTGTCTGATAAGGCAGGTTCTAATAAAAGGGTCGAGATACAAGATAGACGATAGAAAGACATTGTGAGTAGGGCCCAACCAATTTGGATTTTTTTTTAGATCCAATACAATACCGATAAAAGGGGTTTTGGAGCTGATAACAGCCAATATAATGGGGGGAATATATTTCGTATTTATGGCATCACAGACACAGACAAATTAATCCTCTGATAAATAATGATGCGATGCCACATATTAGAACATTTATCTGTCTCTAAATGTTATTAAATTGCTGTAATATAGAGTCTAAGCTTTAAAATGAGATAAAACATGCCCACGCCACGTCATATCGGCTAGATTTAGGCCGATAGCTGATATGTCTCCAAGTGTCCATATCAGCCGATAATATCAGCCAACCGATATATCTATTGGTCAGGCCCTAATTGTAGCTACAGTTAAAGGTCCTATTAGAGCCCTGCACCCACGGGACACATTTTTGAAAGCTCCTTGCGGGCAGGCAGGAGCGGAACTGCACAATGTGGGAGCAGGCGGGTGGGATGATAAACTGCAGTCCCGCAACTAAACATGAGTGTAAAGTAACATATACAAATGATTAATGTATAGCTCATACATCATTTGTGCTGGATATTTTATTTGGGATAAAGAAATTCATTTTAAGCAGCCTAAACTTGCAGATGTGGTCTAATCTCATGCACATTTTAGACAATTCCTTTCCACTTCTCCGTGTTTGATAGAGGTTAAGAAAGCGCATGTTTCCATCTTGCAGGATTTGCAGGCAAGAGTGGGACAAAATATCACAATATGCAGGCGGAAGTGGGAATGAAAATTGCAATTCTTTTGCGGGTGCGGGCGGGAGCGGGACTGAAGAGAGTGTCCCACGCAGATCTCTAGGTCCTATATTATCCCAGATTGACTCTTATAAGCTTTAAGCCAAGCTAAAATGCTGTTACCTCCTCAAAAATATACCTGGAGTTGTGTTTTGTTTCATTCACACATGTTGGACCTTTGTTTAGTAGATTGGCAATTCCAAGTCTGAAATTATCCTAATGATTATAGTGAAGGTTTATGCAGTGGAGCACTTCCTGTACTACATGACATCACAAAGTGGAACGGAGTGTTTTCAATTTGAGAGAAGAACTCGACCTAAATATGCAGGTTTGTGTGTTAAACATGTGTGAATTAAAAAAAACACGCCTCCAGGAATGTTTCTGATGGGAAAACAACATTATAACAGATGAGAAAATAGTGCAATACAGGCCCTTTAAGATTTACTGAGAACTACAGTGAATTAGGATTAAATCAGCATTGGAGCTCGCCTGGCCAAGACCGCATGTGTTTACAATATTCTACAAACACGTGGGTCTAGAACTGAGCCTCCCTTATCTCCAATGGGCCTGACTGATTTGTGGTTAATCAATCAGAGAAACACATGGTCCGTTTGTGTCAAAAACAGTGCCAATCTCTGTAGAATCAGAGATTGGCACTGAGAAAAGAGAAGCCCCAAACTTTTATGTATAGTAGATAAAAGAGGTTCTGAAGTGTGAATGATAGTAGGACATTACGGAGCAGATGTCATCCACATTTGAGACACACATGCTACAAATTAGTGGATGTGTGAATGTCTCAAAACTGTTGTCTATTGAGTTCCTGCACTGAAACAGAAAATAAGAGGAACTGACTCACTAAGCAACTAAAAATCATGCTTGAAGATTGCAATGCACAGGGCACACGGGACTGATTTAGTCACAAAGAGCTGCTTTTACAAAATAACTCTTTGGAAAAAACAAACAGACTCATTTACAAGAATAAAGTTGTCTGTATGATTGTCTGTTGGGTTTTATGTGGTTTTGTGTCTATGAGGTCCATACAGAGAGAGAGGGGTGGAGTGTGATTTCATTTTATTTATTGCCTTTGTTTTTTGTCTGTTAAATATCTCAATTATAAATAAATACATTCAAAATTAAAACATTTTAAAATAAAGATGTGTATATGATTGCCTAGTGGTTTTTGTGGTGCTTTGTGCTTATGATGTCCATCAAAAGAGAGGGGTTTGTTTTGTTTAATCTTTCTTTTGTTTGTTAAATATCTAAATTGAAAAATAAATCGATAAAAATAAAAAAGGGATAAAGTTGTGTACCCAGTCTTTAACTTGGTCTGAACCAGGTCTAAACAAGTCATAAATCTGAACTGTTCTTTTTACACAGAAAACATCAAGTGTTTCTCTGAAAAAGCCTGAACATGCATAGAAAACCGAGGAATGATGTTTCTGTTTGGACACGTCTGACACCACGGAACAGCTGTCGTCATGGTTACCTCCTGAGAGCACCAGGCACAGCTCGGATCTATGGCGAGGCACTGACGGCACGTGGTCACCCCCCGCGACGTGCAGATGTTGGACCCTGGAATCAGACAAAAATACGGTAACATTTTATATGATACTAATTTGACTTTACGTATTACTCTATAAAGTTGCTCTTTGTTGTTATATTGTATTGTGTGAGGGTCTGTGTGCAAGAAAGTTCATTAAAGTTGTCTAAAGGCCGCCACACACTACAGGATATACAGCTGTGAGCACGATCATGTCTGCTGTTTCCTGTCTACAGTAAAACCACTCACTTTGAGACTCTTAAGTGTTGAAAAATCAGACCTCTGCACTAGTTACAAAACAGGTCAAAACTGTGTTATTATTAGCGAAATGTGATGCAGTACTTCAGATACATGATTTTAAACGCACAGATGGTTGGCAATAAAGTACACAGGAAGTGGAGTCACTATCTCTAATCTGCAGCTTCACCTCGATCCGCGCTGCATGAATGTAAACAGACACACGTGAGGAACTACTCCTGCCTTTTTACTTTCAAGGAATGCCTCTTTCTTTCATTTCTTGGATTTTCAGAAACTTTTAAAACTTTTTTGGCAGAGTTTGCTAATGTATGCATAATGTCACAATGGTAACTGCTGAACTTTGCACCACAGAGCCATAGAAATATATGTAGAACACCCCCTGCATGATGTCACAGCAAAGTATCAGTTGCCTAGATAATTTCAGTCTTTCCAATTTGATAATTTTGTCAATACAAATTTTGATTGGTTTGAGATATACCATGAGCTACAGTTAATCAAATTCATATAAAATTCTTGTCTTGTTGTTACTCGTTCTAATCAGATAAGAAAAATGTGCTTCACTGTCAGTCGAGTCAGCCCACATCAATGAGGTGCTTCCCCTTGGCATTCTGGCTTCATTAAAGGTTCTAAATCTTGTGAGCGTTGAGTCATGTTATAGTGCTCCTTCCTCAAAAACATACCTGCAGTTGTGTTTTGTTTCATTCACACATGTTTAAGTAACCCTTTATTATTACCCTGTCAACAAAGCTCAAAGTGCTTTGCTCCACCTTGAGAAGTCATGTAGTGGTAATTTTCTAGTTAACAGTCACCTTTTACCTTTGGTTCAGTAGAGATTGGCAGATCTGGGGCTGGCATTATCCAAATTATTCTAGTGAAGGTGTGGAGAGAAGAACTCAGTTTGAACACACAGGATTTGGTGTTAAACATGTGTGAATGAAACAGGTATGTTTGATGAGGATACAACGTTATAACACAGATCAGAAAATAGCATAATATGTGCAGAAAATGTCGAAAATGTGTATGTTACAAATAACGTAACTGTATCTACCATATAAACCATAAGATCTGTGGAGAGGAGAGCCTGCTCACAGTAAGAATGCACATTTTCCTGGTATTTTTGAGCAATAAACACCAGCTGTAATTGAATGAATGCAAGATAGAAAGCAAAAAAAAAAACAAATGGCACACACTGCATCAGAAAAGTTATATAGTTCCTCTTTAAATATAGTAGCCACATTTCTCAACTTTGCATGACTAATACTTCCTAATTAAACCCTTATCAATACAGTAATATTAAATGAGTTTGTGTCTGGATATGTGTACATTAGCCACAAGCATGATTCACAGTTTCACAACTCAGTGCAGTTATTTGCACTGACTGTATTTTCGTAAAGCCATTTCAACACTTTACAAAGCCCTACGTATGACCCAACTATTTGTCCGTCTGTTCTCTTATCATATGCAGCAAATGGGTGTGGCCTGCTTAATCTTTAACACTGCTGTAAGTGTTATTTCTACCATGTGTGTGCAATGTGCAGAGTTGCAATTTTTAAAAGAAACAAACGCGCTTGAATTACAGTTTTTAATAACACAACTGATCATATCTTCACTCACAAATCAGCTTACAGTGCTCGGGAGCCCTATGCAAATATATAACGATATGAAGGGGTCGTGTTGCTGTAACCTCTGTAGTTTATAGTGCAGGGCTTGGAGATCAAACATCAATTATTTTTCTTCTGGTAATAACTAGTCTTAACAATAGTGGGGAAAGGGGATCACAGTATCACAATTACTACTTGTCTACAATATAAGTTTATAAAACTTAATTTATATTAAAGGGCCCATGTTGTGCTATTTTTTAAATCTATGTTATATGGTTGGTTTCTTATCACAAACATACCTGGAATGTTTTGTTTCATTCACACAAATTCTACATATTTAACCTGAGTTCTTCTCTCAAACTGAAAACACTGTGCCAAATTGTGAGGTCACGTGGTGAAACAGGAAATGCTCCACTTTTTAAACCACATACACCTTCACTACTAGAATAGTTTGGATGATTTCAGCCAAACTCCACTGAACAAAAGGTAAAAGATAGCTGTGAACTTGAAAACTACCACTTCATGACATCACAAGGTGGGACAGAGCATTTTGACCTTTGGAGATGCAGACAGACTAATAATCCAGGGTTACCCAAACATGTGTGAATAAAACAAACATATCTCTAGGTATGTTTTTGATGATGTAACAACATTCTAACATCACTTAAAGCGCTGATTTTGCATAATATTAGACCTTTTAGTATTTCCTCAGAACTTTTGTGTTTAATTTTGCAATCTGTTCATTTTATGTGTAATACCTGAACCTTGGCCAATACATTTACTGGCATGTTGAAGCGCATATTTGATGGACTGAAAAGTATTGCCTGAATCAGCGTGCAAAGAAAGTTATTCATTTTATCTGTTAATTTTATTTTTCCCTACGTCCCACCCCATGTATTATTCACTCTACACTGTAACTCTGTTGTAACCTACACTATTAACCTATAAGTATTTACAAACACAGCTGCCTTGGGGCTGAAAGACAAAAGCGTAGCTGCCAATCTGCCCATATATGGACGCTCCATCTTAACAGTGCTTAAAGGTGCTCTATGTCACTGCTCAAAAGTATGATATTAGAGAGACCTATTTACTTTGCATTGTGTCCATTGTGAGTGGGGTCACCTCTCCATAGAGATGACCTGTAACCTGGCCTGATGGCATCACCTGGTTATTTTATAAAGAGAGTCTAAAGCGAATTAAGGATGCACCTATACTGAAAAAAATCAGCTTCCAAATATGGGTATATAGGGCTGGATACGATACAGTGCACTGTCGATTCAATTCGATATGTTTCAAATCGAATCGATACAGTTCAATAAAAAATAATGGCTAAATGATGACTGTGATACTAAAAGTCTTTGTTAAACCACTTCTTTTGCAAAGTTAATATGAAACACACACATTTTAATCATCAAAACAGTGAAAATGTCAAATGTGTTGCATAAACAAGTTTCCTTCCACTGAACAAGCAACAAAACAAAATAATTTAGTAAAATACACCAAAAAAAACTCGGTGATATATCGATACAGCAGCCCACGATACCGATACTGTATCATCACATTAAACCAGGGGTGTCAAACTCATTTTGGTCCGGGGGCCGTATCCAACCTACTTTGATCCCAAAGGGGCCGCATCAGAAAACTCATGGCGTATAAACCCCAAAAACACCAATAAATTCAAATATTTGTGCAGAAAAACAAAAATCTATTACAGAAATCTATTTTTAATTGATGAACTGTTTCTTTTACAAAATATTATAATATTATGAACAACCTAAAGCTTTAAGAAAAATGCAATTTCAACACAATGTTTTAACATTAACTTGGATGCAAATAGGAATATGTCACTTTTTTTCTTGGAAAATCCTGCACTCGGCTCCACTTTTCTCATTTCTGACATTTTTCTGATGAGGGTGTCACGGTCAACAGTCAAAACTATCATCCTTTAAGAGCGTTTGGAAAGAGACAAGTCTTCTTTTGTGCTGCTCTGGTGGGAGCGGCCATGCACAGATATGATAAGCACCGCAGAAAATTACCAATATTTTAATAGAAAATATAATTAAAATATTTAAGTAGAAAATCAGCCGAGGGCCAGATTAAAGGACTTGGAGGGCCGGATCTGGCCCCCGGGCCTTATGTTTGACACCTGTGCATTAAACAATACATTACATCAATATTTTGATATTTTTGCACACCCCTAATCCTGATTGTACATATAATCCGATATAATAAGACCATTTGATGGCCCAAAAGGTGTCAGAAAGTTTGAACTTTTATTTATACAAAGCTGTTCTGTAGCTACTTTAGAGATAAGTAACTGCTCCATAACACATTTGGATCAATTTTGTCTTATTTTATTTTAGTTTTAAAGGAAATAAATGCTGTTTTCAGTCTCTGCTCTGGTATTGACTGATATTGGGTGTCAGTGAGTATTTAATGCCATAGTACTGAAATCGGTATCGGAACTGAAAAAGCTGGATTGGTGCATTTCTAAGTTTAATGCCATACTGTGAAACATTCTAGGCAAAGCAATAACATGGCATAACCTTCACCAGAAATGTCACAGAGAACATTGTGTATATGTAAAAGTTGTTGATCTTGAGCCATATTATTACACATTAGGGAGTATTTCACAGTTAAATCCAAATATGACCAACAGGCACAGCACTTCCTGTCATATCGACCTTTGGAGTTTAAAAAAAAGACTTCCAGGCTCCTGGTTTGAATCATCCCTGCATGCACTGTCTTTGTCAGGAAACGCATCCCCCTAACCAACTTCACTGCCTTATAAGGAAAGATGGTGATCCGGGGACGCACAACTTCGAACTGCTATCCATCAAAGTCTTTTCATTTAAACCATTAATATCAGCATTTTCTACCAAGATGGGCCAATAAAGTGGACCGTAAACCACGTACATTCGTCTAACTTGTACAAACTTGTGGAGGCACGCCAATGTCCAGAAGGAAACTCCCCCTAACTAGAGCAGAGCAGGTGAAAGTTGGATCAAAGTGAGAAAAACAGCGTCTTACCCAAAATGCCGTGCGTAAAAGAGAGTAAAAACAGCGCGAAGAGACAGCGGTGCGGTAGATGGTCCATGTTGGAGTGAGGGTGGAAAAGTTAGCGGTGTTTAGATGAGTTGTTTCCCCTGATTTTCTCCGCGCGCAGTCCGGCAGGAGCTACACGTCTTTCCTCATTCTTGACTAGACGCACGCTGTTGGGTAACGCGCCTTTACAAACCAAACACAAGGCCCACCTCGATCTGTGGTTCATCACAACAGACACGCGTTGGGTTCACATGTCCTAGTTTGAAGAACCATTTAAAAGCAATAAACGTTGTGTTTTAACTGCCTGTCACGCACGTCAGAACAAACAACTCTTGGAAATTAAAACAGAATAATATGCAATAACAATAATAATGCATATTGACCAAATGCGCATTTACCGCCCTTTGACTTAACTTGACTTAGTTACTTACTTACTTATTTGTTAGTTAGTTAGTTACTTAGTTTATTAGTTAGTTAGTTAGTAAGTTAGTTACTCTGTTAGGTACTTAGTTAGCTACTTAGTTAGTCAGTCATTCATTTATTTACATATTTAGTAGTTAGCTATTTAAGCTATTCAGCTATGTAGCTTATTTTCATTTAAGCTTGTGTAATACCTAAACATTACATTTCGGGCTATTTAATTTGTAGTTTATTTATTTATGTATTTATTTAGTTAGTTTTTTAGTTAGTCATTCATATATTTACTTATTTAGTAGTTAGCTATATAAGCTATTTAGCTAGTTGTCTATGTAGCCTATTTTCATTTAAGCTCGTGTAAGACCTAAAAACTTTTTATTGGGCTATTTAATTTGTAGTTTATTTATTTATTTATTATTATTTTATTTATTTATTTACTTATTTATTTATTGATTTATTTATCGATTTTTCAGATTTATTCATTAATCTTATTTTATTTAATATTAAAGCGGGGCTACAGGGATTTCACTTTTATCGTCTCACTTTTGGCTGTTGAAGAAATTAAATATCACTAAACTAAATGTGGTTTGGTCCAGTTTAATGTACAGTAATAGTGTGTGAAAGTGAGACCCCTACTGGACTATATGATAAACTGCAGATATCTTATTTACTGCTGTCTTTTTTTCTGGCTTCATTTCTGTGACTTTGCCTCAGGCTGTGGCAATACAATAACTAGCATCTCCACACTGTACTCATATATGCACATATTAGTCTGAAACCTTTTTATTTAATTTAACTGTTTAGACTGAAACATGACCAATGCTTTAGTTATTATCGTTTTTTAGAAGCCTATATATGTGTGTGTAAATCAGAAAATGCGTCTTATCTCTTTTGTCCATTATATTTTTACCCACATCTCCCCATCTTTTCTTATCTTTCGCAGTTGCTAAGTTACTGCCACCCTAAGTCCTGATCCTCGCATTGAAGGGAGTGACACAAATGGCTGGGAAAGCTAAAATAGTCCACCATTGAATTGACATTAAGCTTCCAATGTGGGCGGACAGCACAGGTAAGTATACGCATCCTCTACTACAGTACTGTATACAGACAATTATTGACTATTGGAGGTGTCTGGAGTGTGTTCCGTCAATTGAATGACATTTCCGAAAAGCTTTGCAATGGTTGCCCTGTGTGGGAAAGACAAGCAAGAGACTTAGGTCAAATGGCAGCCAATTAAAGCCGAACAAGAGAAGGGGGATGGAGGGAAGGAGAGGAGGAGAGAGAGGTCCTGACCGCCGTATGAAGCCATCTGTAGACCTTATGTGCCCAGCGCAGAGAAGAAGAGAGACGGGTGATTGGTTAATAATAATAGGCGGCGCAGACAGTTTAACAGAGGACAGGGTCAAGGGGAAAGATTTTTAAGTTATTTGGATTTATTTGTGTGTGAAGCAATATAACAAAAATGACAAAAACTAAAAGTTACAGAAATATTCTAAAAAGTAGCTTGTTGTAACCATCTTCAAATTTAAATTCACACTATGTCACTTCTCAGATGAAGGGTCCATCACATGCTTGTCTCCATGGAGATGTTAGTGCCCCACGGTGGCATTAAACCTTTCTATCGCCATGCAACCAGGCCAAGTTACAGGTCACATTTGTGAAGAGGTGAGTCTGCTTACATCAAGAATTTATACCTGTAGAATAAAGATATACTGTATGTTCTATACTAGTATATACTGCCATACTGTGGAACATTATATCGTCTCCATGGAGATGAGTAGGCAGCAGAAAAGTTACTTGCAACACCTTTAAGTGAACTCCACCATTTCAGAATAAACTAAATTTTAATCAGTCACCAAAACAGTACTAGTTTCTCATACCATTGGATTTACATGGAGTTGTGTTTTGTTTCATTCACAAAAGTTTAAGAAACAAATCCTGCATATTTACACTAACTTCTTCTCTCAAACAGAAACCACTCTGTTCCACCTTGTGATGTCATGCGGTAATACGAGAAGTGCTCCACTGTGTTTGTAAACTTCATAAGGTGGAACATTGGTGAAGCATTTAGAGCAGGGGTCTCCAACCTGTAGTTCAGGAGCTACCAGTAGCTCTCCACCCCATTCCAAGTAGCTCACCAAGGGATTTCTGAATTACACGTATTGTGCTGAATAAGTAAATTTTGATGAATGAAATGCCTTTTACCATTGTACTAACTTCATGCACTAATGAATGGCTAATGGTTTATGTTTAATAGGCATCTAACTGTACCTCATCTAAGGCTCGCCATGGCTCTTATATATGCTCAATTTCTTGTGACCACTCAAACTAGTTGCTCTCTAGCATTTTCATTTTGTAAAAAAGTTTTGTAAAAGTAGCTCACCAGAGGAAAAAGGTTGGAGACCCCTGATTTACCTTTGGAGATGTAAACAGACTAATAATGCATTATTATTCAAACATGTGTGAATGAAACAAAACACAGCTCTAGGTATGTTTTGGATGAGGTAACAGCATTCTAACATGACTTAAAGCTCACAAGACTCCATTTTGTGTAATATAAAACCTTTAATGAGTTTTTGTACTATTACTTCTATACTTGATTGTTTTGAAGTTCCAGTAATGAGCCCACCCTGTCTGTTTCTCATATGGTACAGCTACAAGTGACCGTCCACAGGTGACCTTTTTAGTGTAATTCCGCAGTTCAGGGACACGCTCTATGTTCTTAAAATAGCCTTAATGACGGCTGTTTGGGGTCTGTGTGGGCCCTGAGTCATTTCCAGGGACCAGGCTGTAATTAATGACTGAATTTACCTCTGCAACATCATCAGGAGCGCCACAGTTACCAAACAACTCTTGCATCAAAAGCTTGTCCACTAATTGCTGTTTGCATTGGATTTTAATACACACGCCATGTTTTTCAGCATCCTGGTTTGAATCAATGTCTTAATCGCAAATGAGATCAAATTTGTATCTCTGCTTAGCTTAAAGATGCACTATGTAACTTTTTGGTTGGGGTTCTGCTCATTTCTATGTGTCACTGCGCTGCCTGGAATGTTCCACAATATGGCATTAAACGGCTCTACTTTACATTTATTCAGTTACAGATGGTTTTATAGTTCAGAAAAACAATAATTCTGACTGTGGGTGGGGTCGCATCACCACAAATCTGACCTTTAACTTGGTCTGGTTTGGTCTCCATGAAGATAGAAAGGTTTAATCCCATACTGTGAAACATTCCAGACAAAGCAGTAACATCTCCAAGCACTTGATGGACCCTCCACCAGAAAAGTTAAACAGTGCAGCTTTAAACCTATTTGATATACAGCTAATACTAATGATGTAGTGGTCCGTCTGTCGTCTATTCCCAAAATAGTCTCCATTAAAATGTGCCCCCAGCTATTTGTACAATCTATGGTCTAAACATTTTGTACTGATTGCTTAGACTTAGGCTATGTTCAGACTGCAGTCCGTAGAAAGGAACGTGTGGGTGCAGAGTCGCAGCCAAGAGTGGTGGGATTGCTGTGTGCTTCACTGCTTCACTGACACGGACTTCATTCACAATTTTTGTATGACGAGAAGAACGTCTACGTACATTTGTGACGTGCAGGACGGATAGATGCAACCTGGCTGTACAGACTGAAGTCACATGTCAAAATATCAGATATGTATCGGTTTTAGGATCATATATCTAAGTGGCCTGGGTCACATTTGAAAAAAATCATATCTGTGTCATTCAGACTGTCATTAAAAGATCAGATACAGGTTGCATAGAGGCAAAAAAATTGGATTTGGGTCACTTCAGGCTGCAGTCTGAATGTAGCCTTAGACTTAGACAAACTATTGATCTACAAGGGAAAATATGTGGACACAGTAGTTCACACATGACAACATATTATAATAATGAAGAGCAAAAATATAAATGGTAATAATACATTCAAAATAAGTTACAGAAATAACACGAGACTAGTGTCAAATAACAAATAGGTGTCAAATAACAAATAATTATATAAATGTATGGTAATTACTTAATAATAATAATGATGATGCATCAGTTTTATATAGTGGTTTTCTGGACACTCAAAGACACTTTACAGAGCATTCACTCCATACCCAGTGTGGTAATCTAATATTGTAGCCAAAGCTGCCCTGGGGCAGTGATGGAAGTGAGGCTGCCAATCTGCGCTATCGGCCCCTCTGACCACCACCGTCACTCACATACTCACCACTTTCAATCTAGGAAATGTGGGTGAAGTGCCTTGCACAAGGACACAACAACAGTTCTTGTGACTGGTGCCCCACTGTGGCACCTGATTTTTCCAGCAGTCTCCCATCCAAGTACTTATATTTCATAGTTTTCACATTTTCACTCTCATTCACTATCTTGACATTCCCAAAGGTGTTCTAATGTTTGTGAGTGGTGCTTTTAATTTGCCATATTAGATCAGATGCCCTTCCTGACTCTGGGTAATGACCCTGTTATAGACTTTTATTGATACTTTGCAGCTGATGTCATCAACGTGTGATGCTAAATGTAGACACTGCTCTATCTGAAGCTCTGTTGCTCAAGTTAGACTTTAATCACAGCTTCATTTGAACACAGTCTGACCAGATAGAGCTGATTTAGTTGGAACTACAACATGTGAGCTTTTTTGTGGGCTAAACAAGTATCTCAGGCATAAAATTTAAAAAAGAAAACACCTAGAGGGGACCACCAACGCTTGCTTTGATTACAGACTCCTGAAAATGTGTTGTTTAAATCCATTTAATATTTTTGTCTTAATTTTTCAGATGATCTTA